ACGGGCTGGGCTCGATTCCTCTCTGTCACTGCTGTCAGGTCTCTGGAGAAGACCAGGTTGGGGTGGGCTGATTCGGGGTCGAAGGTGAGCGGGGCAGGAGCTGCAGAGATATAGAGCACAGTGTTTTACCGGTTGCATGTTCCCTCTGCAGAGCATCCTCGGTTCCCCCATCAAACTCCACTGCCTGACACGTCCATCCGTCGCACCAATCCACTCACCGGGGCAGATGGACCGCAGCATCTGTCTCCAGAAGATGTACTGCAAGGGGCCGCTGCGGCTGTCCCTGTAGTGCTCCAGGTTGAAGGCAGGCTGGGTCTCAACGCGCACCGAGGGCCTGGGGCAGAGAGAGCGGCAGTCAACTCCCCTGCTGTGCTGCTAGCGAGGCACGTGGTGGTCAGGACTGCAGCATGCTACCGTGTGCAATGGATTTGGTAAAGACAGGACACAAGCGTCCCTGGCAGCTGCTTGCTCCCCCTGATGTGGTGCTACCCCCAGCACAGCAAGTGGCTCGGTGCAGAGGTGTTGCGGACCGAGACAGATCCGGCAGCACCGCTTGTGGAGCGGTGACTCATGGCAGACCAGCACACCCAAGCAGGACTCCTGCATGGGTGAACAGGCCAGGCCTGCAGAGCCGGGCTGCATCATCCCACTGCAGCCCCCAGGGAGGGAGGGGACAGGGACATGCTCCCCTATGGCAGTTCTGGCCCTCAGCTACTTGCAGCCTCAGACAAGCCTGCACCTCAGGGTCAGCTTTGCAGCTCTGTGAGTTTTAAGAAGCTAAGAAAGGGCAGGGAGAAGCCAAAGCACCCAAAGTCTGTGGCACCAGCTTGCTCTCGCTTGCAGCACGCATGGCTCTTGCACCCATTCCAAGCCAGCACGTCTCCTCCACCTGCTCTTCCAGCCCAGCTGTCTCGACACGCATGCTCCCTGGGGAGAGCATACAACATGTGCTGGGGACCAGCCCCCACCTAGCACAGCACCAGCAGCTCACTGAGCAATTTGTGATGCTTCTAAAACTTGAGATAAGATCCCTCCCCTGTGTGGTCCCAGCCAGGGACAGAGATAAGCTCCTGAAAAGGGAATCAGCTGCTTTCATGCCAGACACGTACCTGATATCCAGGCTCTCCACCTGCAGTGAGGAGCAGAGAGAATTAGCAGTCACTGTCTGTAATTCATGCAACTGCACAAATAAGCTCCCGGTCCTGCCTCCTGCTGTCACGCAGCAGAGAGAGAGGAAACCAACCTGTCAGGACCCCCCACCCTGGGGGAAACTGCCTGGGCACTGTGGCCAAAGCAATTTCACAGGGGTGACAGAGAAGGAGGAAGGCTCCCGAGACCCACCACATCGGAGAGATCACCATATCCCTTGTGGCTAAAGCCTCCAGACTCCACGGGACTGGGTAGATAACCCGGAGGGATGGCAGTGAGAATGACTTCCAGGTACAGCCTAGTGATGTCTCCCCATCCCAAATTCAGATCCTGAAACACCCCTCAGCCTCCTGCCAGGGTCAGCCAAGCATGCTCACCTCCAGCAACGACACCTCTTCCATCTTGCTCAGGATCTGCTCTATGCGCTCTATGTCCCTCTGCAGCACCGACATCCCCTCCTCCAGCCGGTGGACGTCCCCGTGCAGCCGTGCCAGCGACTGCTCTTCCTTTTCGCCCAGCTCTGCCAGCACAGCTCTCTCTTCTTCCTCTAGGATCTGATGAAGGCGGGCAAACTCTGCACGGATCTTGAAGTTCAGCTCCCCAGACACCTTCTGAGCAGATGGAAAAGGCAGAAAATGAGTCTGGCAGCTAAAACACACAAGTAGGTACATGGTATGGCTGGGCCTGTTAATCTGCTTACAGAGTCCTGGAAATCAGAGAGTCTCAGACATACGCATGACTTTTTGGATGGAGAATAGGACACAAGGACAACTTTCAAGGCTGCAGAGCCAAAGGGGAAAAAAAAAAACCCAAGCTCTACCAATGGCTCGGTCACCTTAACTAGAAATCCTTGCACACAGCCCCAGTGGGAGCCCACAGCCCTCTCCCACACCACCAGGAATTTGCCTGTGTGCAAGACTGGGGCTCTTTTGCTTTTCTGGAGCTGCAGACTCAGCTGTTCAGGTTAGTTAGGGTTTATTTCACATCGTGCCCCATCACTGGGCAGAGCTGCCTGGCACGGGTAACTCGCTCTTTTTCTCTGATGCCTCCATCTCTCAGGGCTCCCGTTTGTATGGGAGAGACGGGGGAGCTGCACAGACTAATCTCTGTAGTTAAGGCTGATAAAATCCCATTCAGCTCTTTTCAGAGGTCACTTTTTTCCAGTTGTTTAGTCGGCCAGCCAACGTTGTGGTGCTCTCACTGCCTTCCTGCCTGTTTACAAGAGACAGCCAAAGACTTTTTCTTTTCCCAGTCTTTAAGCTTTTAATCTCTAAGTGCAACCTTAGCCCTCATTATTTTCTTGAGGAACGCTTCCTGAAACGCACATCCCTTTCTACCAGCAGGAAACCCATCTCCCCCAGAGCACATCCGAAGCTTCACCAGCCGGCACGGCACCCCAGCCTCCCTTTGCTCTAGCAGGTGGTTGTGCTGCCACACCAGAACCGCAGAGGACATGCATGTTCAGATCAGCAATTTGCTCCTTTACTCTTGAAGCACGTCTAAGTCAGCTCTTGCACTGCAACGGGACCTCAGCCGCACGCGTGTACTTGCTAACACTTTTTCATTAACCTCAAAGGTCTATTCCAAAGCTGGCAGTGGGATAGAGGTAAGAAACACAGCGCAGGCAGGGGGGATCAGAGCCTCCAGTCGGAAGGCAGGCTCCCATCAGTTTTATCTCACCCCTGAACTACTTGTGTTTTCCTTAAATCCTCCTTCCTTGGCTTTTAATACTTTTACGTCACTCAAGAAGGAAGCGCAGTCAGCCTGTGGCTGTTCTTGCTTCATGGATCAGTGACAAGGAGGCAGCCTGGCGTCTCTCAAGCCTGGAGAGAGCACTCAGGCTCCTCACATCATTTCAGAGCTTCGCAGTGAATCCAAACATGGCCCTTGTGACAAGGCCACAGCTCTCCGCAGCACCAACATTGCTGCTGACCCAGCTCCTTCAGCTTTGCTGCCACCCCTTCAGACACACAAGAGGATTTTAGAGCTTCCAAGAATTAACCCTCTCCCAAAGTGGCAGCGCTGCAGGGTCAGAACAGGCTGCTCAGCCGACAGCTCTCACCACTCACCCTGTCTCGGCTCTGCTGCACCAATGCACCTTGTAAACGCTGCATTAACAAGTGCTTAACGCCTCTTCCCAAAGCCTCCACTGAATATTCAGTAATGATGGCCTTTGGCCTACATGCAGGGGAGTTTGTTCAGATCCCTACCTATTTATTTATCTAGATTTTTACAGGAAGCTGAGCTAAATCTCAGCTGAAGTGATATACAGATCCTCTGTGAACATTAACCCAGAGTCTGTACAAAAAGCAGCTATCACAGGGCATTACTGTCAGGCCACAGATATCCTCCTGCGTCGCACGCTTCTTCCGCAAGAAGTTCTCCACCTCCTTCTGACGGGCTTGCAAAGCATCTTCCAGGTGCTTCTGCAGGAACAAGGAAAAGAAGGTGAGGAGACCATTTCACTACTGTGCTGTGATTCAGGAGCAATCCTAATTCCTGAGGCCAGCTTTAGAGGGAGGCTGCAACAGGATTTCTTATAAAGGCAGTAAGGAGAAGAAAGCACCTGATGCACAGGCTTGAGAACTATGTATGTGTGCACAGAATGAAACAAATTTAAGACTGGGAGCTCCAGCCTGGGATATCTGTTTGCAGGTTTAAAACCTGTGTGCTGTGAACTGACTTGTGCAGGGACTGGCCCCTCAAGCAACGTGCCCGGCACAAGCAGCCCTCACCCCCGGCTGCGTGGTTCCTACGTGAGAAACAACCAGGCTGCGATGGAAGTCGGGCACAGCAGCGAGGGAAACAAATGCAAGAAAAGAAAGTGTCCAAAAGACAGACAGCTGGAGGGAAATAGGGAGAGGGAATGAATCAGGAAGAGACACAGATGTCATTGCACTCATGCCAGGTGAGGCACACACGGGGCTCCCCGGTAGGGGAAGCGATTGCAGGAGGAGGGGGTGGTGGGTTCTTCCTGCCCGCACAGTGCTCACGCGGTGCCGGTCCCCTTCTCCCCCCGCCGAGCACGAGCCACTCACCTGCATCTTGTGCCGGTGCTCCGCGGAACCGCAGCGCCGCACCTTCTCCACCAGCCCCGACAGCAGGTAGTGGGTGCGGAAAGCCCGGCTGGGGAACTCGCGGCGGCACTGGGGGCAGGAGGGGACGCGGGCACAGCTCTCCCAGTAGCCCTGAATGCAGGCCTTGCAGAAGTGGTGCATGCAGTCCAGCATGACGGGCTCGCTGAAGAGCTCGCAGCAGATGGCACATGTCAGCTCCTCCCGCAGGCTCCGGTCCTGGCTCCCGCTGGCCATCCCTGCTGGCACACGGGTCCCACCCTGAGTTTCCTGCCACCACCATCCCAAAATCCCCTTCCTCCTCCTCTCTGAGCTAGAGTGGACTTCTGCCTCTCCTCATGCTGGGCTCCGCTGGGTGCTCTGGGGCAGGGCTTGGTTACCAGACCTTGGGCGGGAGGCACAGCGCCTGCCCATGTGCCGCACTGGATGCACCCAGCCCTGGAAAGCCCCGCGGGTGGGAATTACAGGGAAGTCCTGCCAAAGGGTCAGTCCCTTTGCAGAATAACAACTTTCTGTTTCCCCGTTACTTCAGCAAAACTACTCACGGGGTCTAACAGGGACTGGCCGTGTGCCCCTGACAGGGGGCACACCCCAAGGGAAGGGGTCACCTGGCTCGGGGACAGCGAGCAGCCGCCCTACGGCCTGGGGAGCCTTGGGGTAAGC